GCTGAGGCTTTAACCCACAGCGCCACCTGCGTCCCTAGTCTAGGTTTACATAAAAGCCTTGTGACGTGGCTCTATTCTCCCAGCAACCAGGGTGAGTAAAATGCAAGTCAAGATATATTGTAAGTCGCATGACACAGTCTCTCTGGCATTTAGAGAATCCTCGCTTTCAAAGTGTATCCAGCTTTCAAAGAGGAAGGTCTGAAAATTTGTGAGTGTATGTATAAACTACCCTGCTATACAAAGGAAATGCAGTATTTCCATTCATACTTCTGCCCACCTTTGTTTCTTCCTCCATTCACCACTGGTGTGTTTCCCTGGGAAATTGTTCAAGAGTTAACGCTGCTCTAAAGTTGAAATATGTTCCTTTTTCCTGACCCATAACCTTACGAATGTACATTCTGAGCTGACTTTTTATTTGATGATATGTTAGTGGGTTCCTTTCTTTGCAAATGCACCAAAAAAGTGTACAAATTTTGCAGAGTGTAACACAATAATAAAAAATATGAAATAGCTACGTCATAATGTGATTCTTTATTATACTCAAAACCATTAATGCAATAATGACATGTTTACACCAGAAGGCATTGAAACAATATCCTTTTTCATATTTCAAAATAAGTAACTGTAGCTGAACTGAAGCCAAAATGATAAAATTGAAAGGATGAACATTTTCTATTATTTGAATCAATTCAGATATCCTTTATGAACATGGAAGGTAAACTCCATCTTTGTTTCACCTGTCTCTGAATTTTTCCGTATTTGTACACATACACATAAAGAAATCCGTAGACAAGCACTGTAATTATATGCACTAATGATAACATAACATAACATAACAGTTGTATGAAAACTTAAGTTGGCATAGCTTTGCCCATTAATATATGGTGGAGAAAACTATCCTTTTCAACTTTTGCACATTCTTCTTCTACAAAAAGTACTGAGCCCCTGTAAGAGAGCAGGGAAAGTGGCAATTATATCAGAAGTTTGTCTTGTGTGTCTCTGCAAAAGGCAGGGGAGAAAAGATATTGCAATCCTTCTCTTTACTTACATTCTTCAACGGCCTTTTTAAATACAATGGTTCACATCTGAAACTTTAAATATAGCCTGGGTTTTCGTTGGCCAGTTTTAGAATTCCCGAAGACGGGATAGAATTCAAAGACATGCTTGGCTAATTTCTTCTGTGTTAGTTTGTTTCTCTTAGAATCTATTTGCCAAACACATTCCAGTGTTTTCAGTAGTGTTGGTTTAGTAAGGCCATTTGGCAGTTTAAAAAAAAAAGGAGAATTATTGTGACTCAAGTGATAGGATGTGGTAGGATGAAGTCACAACATGACATCATAGAAGCTTCAACGCAGTGTTCTAGAAAAGCAGGTAGAGAGAGTGTCAGTTAAGATACATGGTCAGAAACTAGCCAGCCGGTAACAGTTTAGAAGACCTTCAAGTCAACCGGTAGAGAAATAATGAGGACTTTGAGCCTGTTCCCAAAAATGGCAATCCTAGGTCTGGTCTAATATTTCAGTAAATGCAAAATAAACACAAAGGAGGAACTCGGGAAGAAGAAAAAGAACTTGTATTCAAAATAATAGTTTTAAATACAAGGTTTGCTAATTTAACAGGTAAAGAAGCAGAGAGGAATAGAATGTATCTCTGCAATTCTGGACTTCATGTATTCCAGAAAATACTGCTCCTGCAAGAGTGTTATATTAATTTGGTGAACTAGCCTTATTGTGCTCCGGTAAGTAAAATTTCGTCCTAGGCATCTGTAGCAAATATTGTTCCTAGAGACAAAGACTCTGTTGTAAGATGGGGGTGAGGTTTTATCGCTGCATTTCTATGTTTGTCTACCAAGAAGTAAGTTCCACTGAATTCAATGGGGCTTACTCTCTTAACAGATTGCTAAAGCAAAGGGAGGAGGACATACAATGCCATCAAAAGAAAGGAAAATGAAAATTAGGAACAATAATTATTGGGAGGAATGGAAAGCTAGCTTTAGGCTCAGAAAATCAGGAATGCTATTTTATTTAGATGTTAACAGTAACTATTACAAGACTATTTAAAATGTACATTTGGGTAGAGAAAGGAGGCAGGTTTCCTCATATTTATCAGAATGAGATTTAGCACAAATGAACATTTCCTTATAAGGTTTGTAGCAGCAAAGCTAACTGCCGAATAGAGGTGATAAATTTTCAAACTATTTTAAGATCAAGACACCCTCCAGAAACTTACATGAGCCAAATAAACGCTACTGGATCTCACCCAGTAATAACAAGGGGTTGCGAGGGTAGACTACTGGGAGGCAGCTTCACAGTGAAATGAATTTTATATATTTATTTGATGGAACATTTGTTAACAAGTGGCTGAACTATTTTAACTACGTACAATGAGAGTAAATTTTGTGATACAGCTGGACACATCAATATATGTTTCCTACTTCTAAAAATGAAGGGATCTATTCCTTTCTTAGGCTATTAATTGCATCCATTGTAACAATCCGGCTCAGTTCTCAACATCTGAACAAAGCCACAGGTTGTATTGCTTCTTTTTGTTCTTATGATTGCCTGAAGAGATAACAGAAATTCTTTTAGAAGTACAGTACATATGAAACCAGAGGTGATAAATAAAGCATGTGCTAATTAATCATCTATGGGTTCTCAAATTACACCAATAGCACAACCCTATGAATGTCTGTCTCCTGGGGGGGGGGGATATCCTGCTGAGTTCAGTGAGACTTCCCCTTGAAACATGTGCATAGAATTGCAACCTGAACTATTTTCCAAACACAGCCGAATGACACCTGGTCTTCTCGTTCTGTTTAGGTGCTTTATCCATGTCTTGGAGATTTCCAAAGTGCAAAGCTACTTCTAGAAAGAAACAAGGTACCCACCATAGAGTGATGACATAGCACACTTGCTTCATCTAGGACCAGGATTGCAAAGGAATATAATGTTCATAAGACCATCATTATGTGGAACGAATGCCGGTATATATTTAAAACAATTGGTTCAGAAGATTCATGGATCTCACTTAAAATAGGGTCAGGTATACACAGTGCTTTTCCCCCCAGCCAGAGCGCTGTTCTGGCACCTTTCAGGTGGGGGCCTTTGAGGGTTGGTGCTCCCCCCATCCACTTCTTGCCTTTACATACTTCGGAGAAGCCCAAAATGAAAATTTCAAACTTTATTTTTCACCTTAAGGAAACTAAGGTAAGATGCATATTGGTAGCGCTCCGAAGAGCTGCTAATCTGGCAACCGACATTAGGTTTACATACATATTTACCAGGCATGCGTGGAAAAGGTTTCTTCCAGTTTAAAGAAATGCTACTCTGAAGGCTATGGTCTATTTCAACTTTGAGTTCAGTGTTGAAAAACGGAAGCTGCTTAGCGTGTGTGAGCATGGGCATAGGCAGGTGGGTGCTAAATCAAGCAAATTAAAAACAACAACAACATAACTAACTGACCAATTGTGCCACAGATAACTTACGGTAGTTCTGCCCCCCTAACATAATGCTTGCCCCCCCCCCCATAAATCCTGGCTATGCCCATGTGTGTGAGTTTATATTTTTTAGATCTATGATTGCACTTAGCTCCTAGCCACTCTTAGTCACAATAGGTCAAGCTATGGGGCAGGGCCAGTTCATATTTCCTTTTATTCAATCCATTTCCCATGTAGCAGCGATGGGCTTTAAGCTTTCCAGGCAGGCCTCTACCTTTGCATGTGTGTTTGCATGAGCTGCCCTGAATCTAAGAGAACAAGGGAGATGGGGGCACATTTATTTGACCTGCCCCAGAACCAGGGGGCAGCAACATCTGTTCAGGGCTGCCCCGAGTCACCCAGCGACTTACTGCAACAACTTCATGGTGAGTTTCGGCATCTAATTTTATTACAAAAAAAGGCACTGGGTATACAGATACAGTGGTACCTCTGGTTACGTACTTAATTCGTTCCGGAGGTTTGTTCTTAACCTGAAACTGTTCTTAACCTGAAGCACCACTTTAGCTAATGGGGCTTCCTGCTGCTGCTGCGCCGCTGGAGCACAATTTCTGTTCTCGTCCTGAAGCAAAGTTCTTAACCCGAGGTACTATTTCTGGGTTAGCGAAGTCAATAACCTGAAGCATATGTAACCTGAAGTGTATGTAACCCGAGGTGCCACTGTATAGCGTCAAGGGAGAGGATGCCTTGAGTCATTTTGAATCGTGATTTTTGCAGAATGGTAAGCTAAACTTAGGTATACTGGGACCGTGCCAAACTTCCGGCTCCCAGAACAGAGCTCCCGGTTGCCTGGTGCTCCCCAGTCTTTTTCGAACTAGAGGACATATCTTGGCAACAGCTCATGGTTAGTGAGGAGGGAGCTGAATCACAAGTTTGGCTTCAGATGACATGCTAAGCCAGACGTTGACTTAGATCCGCACAGTGCAGGAATAAAAAAAAAAGACCAGGAAAGGAGCATTTCGGAATTTGAGATAACTACAGATACTGCGCAACACCGCTAGAATTCCAGTTATTGACATAGCTGTCAGCCTTCCCCATTTTTGCGGGAAATTCCCTTATTCCAGCACAGTTTCCCACTGCTTCCCACTGCTATCCCGGATTGTTAGATATCCTGTAGACTGTCCCCGGGACAAGTGAGGCTGCTGATCCCTTATTTTCGAGGCTGCTGATCTCTTATTTTCAAATCTGAAAGTTGACAGCTATGGTTATTTAATTGTAGCAATCTTGATTATTTCGTTGCTGCTGTCTGCTTTATTTATATGCTACTGTGTTTGCAAGGCACTGGTGTTTTTATTTTATGGCAACTGTGATTATTGTGAGCCGCTTTGAACTTTGTCCTTGGAGAAGCGGGATGCAAGCCAGACCAAACTCCCTTTTGCTTCCCCATCTTCTGCAGAGCCTAGGCTCGCTCCTACAGGTTCTCACCTTCCCAGACTACAAGCCCCAAGATGCTCCCAGGCGCGCCTCGGCGCGTTGCATCTTTGGGAAGCGCCGTCTCCGTGGAGATGCCTGCACTGCGCATCCATTGCGCATCTGCAAACTCGCGTCGCTTCTTCCCCCCGCTTTATAAGGTTGTGTGCTATATGTTTAGGCGGAAATGGGAGCGGGTGTCCTAGCAACAGCCTCTCTCTAGCTGGAGTCTGCAAAGTCTCGTTATAAAGCAGCAGTGGCAAGAGGGAGGCAGGATGGCGGTCGGTGCTGGTGGTGCGCCATGGTGAAGGCAGCGGGGACGCACGGTGCGCAAAAGGCGCGGGCACCCTTTTTTCGGTTTGCGCTTTCTCCCGCGGCTTCAGGATTTGCATTAAGCCAGTGCATCTAAGCAGAAGGGCTCGCTCGCTCGCTCGTGTGTGTCTAGCTGTGCATGCACGAAGAGGCAGGAAGGACTTTTGGGTGCAAAGGGGCTCGGTTTGGGTGGCTGGGGAGACCCGACGTGCTCGAGGCGAAGGATGCTCGAATCCATCCGTGTCACTGGTGAGTAATCACGCTCATTGCTTTCCTTGCTCCGGTCCTTGCAGCTGCTGACATTCTTCCACCGCAGCAAGGCAGGGTCTGTGCGCGCCCAGGATTTGCAGCCACGGAAAATGGAACTTGCATCCAATCAGAGATAGCATTCTGCACGAGAGTACTTAAAACGCGAGGGTTGTCGCTTTAATGTGATGTAGCAAACACACTTGGCCGTGGTTAAAATAGAGTTTCTGTTTACAACAGAATAAATATACCCCCCTTGAACAAAGAACCAAATACACAGGCTATGGAGTAAGAGGACTTTTTGGGCAACTGATCTTTCGCTTTTGAGCATGGCCTGCCTTTCTGGAAGGAGATGCCATGATGGAAAATTGCTACTCATGTTTTTCAAGACTGCAATAAGGGTTTCAGTTTTCCTATAAATATTTATGTACATTGATTTCACCATTTTTCTAGCTTGGGTCTGCCAAAGTAAGTTTTTTTTTGGGGGGGTGTATGTGTGTGTGTAACAAATGAAGTGTAAAAGGACTTTATTTTCTGACCATTAAAATCAATAGTAGTGCTCTCATGGAATCATACAGAACTCTCTGGTGAGAGAAACTACATTTTATGGAGTTTCTTGAATGCTGATGGTGTTTACCATTCACTTGCTATGTCTGTCACTCATTTGCAATACTGAAAGGAAAATTGATAAATGAAATGAAAAGTTCAGTAATATTGCAGACACTTTGCCTCTGAATCATGCTTTTGTCTTCACCACTGATTATCAGGAGACCACCCAAAATGTAAAGGATGAAAAAACAAAGTACAGACAGAGACTGCTAGTTGATTTTATTAATAGCCCACTTTGACAGGATGTCATTATGATAATTTCAATAATTCCTGAAGTGATTACATGTACAGAACAGCTTTGGGTTGGTAGTGTTACAAAAGCATAACAGTGTTGGAGATGCCAGTACCAGGGATCTTAAATGGGGCTGATAAATACCAGAGATTGAAAGGGACAGATAACTCTAGACAATGTTTAATTCAGAATTAATTTTGTCTGTGTCACAAATAGTTACTTATTTTAACCTAATCCGCTGCAGCCTGCAGATTAGAAAAAGCAAATTTCTAGCCCTCGTCATTTTGACAACTTTGAGATATTTTTTATTTCAAAATCCAGTTTTCAAGGGGCCTTACGCCTTCCATCCCTCTTCCCCCTTGTGGGGAACTGTACCTGAACCTTGCTTACCTTTAATCTCCTGTCACAACAAACACTTCTTGTGGAAACAAATAGATTCAATTATGTAGTGCAGGTAAGACATTCAAATAGAATGTGTATTAAAATAACCTTACTGTAACCTTACTGACTTTTACATAATTTAGTTTGAACATAGTATTCAAGCTTCCTTGACAGGCAACATACGCTAAACCTTTAAAGTGCATTTGAAGCACATTTGCTGCCTAAAATAATTTTGGGCACTGCAGTTTAAGGGTTGGCGGGAACTGTACCCCTGCGAGTGGTAAACTACAGTACCCAGAATTATTTGAGGGGGACGTGTGTTCTTCCCCCTCCCTTTTTTTCTTCTGTTTTTGCTGAACCACAGCATGTTGTGTCACCTGTGCCAACAAACTGTGGTTAATCTTAACTATGGTTTGTTTTAAGGGACACGGGTGGCGCTGTGGTCTAAACCACTGAGCCTAGGGCTTGCTGATCTGAAGGTCGGCGGTTCGAATCCCTGCGACGGGGTGAGCTCCCATTGCTCAGTCCCAGCTCCTGCCAACCTAGCAGTTCAAAAACACATCAAAGTAGATAAATAGGTACCGCTCTGGCGGGAAGGTAAACGGCATTTCCGTGCGCTGCTCTGGTTTTGCCAAAAGTGGCTTAGTCATGCTGGCCACATGACCCGGAAAAACTGTCTGCGGGCAAATGTTGGCTCCCTCGGCCAGTAAAGCGAGATGAGCGCCGCAACCCCAGAGTCGTTCACGACTGGACTGAACTGTCAGGAGTCCTTTATCTTTTTATGGTTTGTTTAAACATGCCACATTGAAACCATGCATTAAGGAAACAGCTTGCTTCTGCTTTCATTAATCTTATCTATGATTAATGAAACAAGCCAGCTTTATGAACTGGTTTGAAGTTTCCACTAAACATGGTTAAGAGCTAGCATAGTTTGCCTGGGTTTGAGCGGCATGGCAAGCTGCAGTTGATCTAAAAAAGAAGCAAGAGTGCCTGCAGTCCTTGTAGCCACACTGGAGGAGGAGAGGGGACCACACACTTCAGATTCACTGCAGCTTGTCGTCATGATGCTAAACTGGTTTGTTGTGGGATGGGAAGGTATTTGTGAAACCATTATTAAGAATCATTGGTGCAGTCCCATCTGTGCACAGTGCTAAGCAGAGTAGATTCTAGCCCCAAGGACATGACACATTCTAAATTTCAACAGCAAGAGAAGCAAGGATAATACTGAGGAGGATTGAGAGAGGCAAGAGTGCTCTTTAGGCATGTGCAAAGTACACTGTAATCACATACCTACCATTAGGAAGAGGGGCTTTTAAGTTGAGTAGGCATGTTCTGCATGCTGTAGGATTGTGGAGAAAGCCAATGTAGACCTCATTTAAATTATATTTTGAGCCATCATTCTTTCCCCATCGGAGTTACTTCCTTCTATTATAGTTTAAAATGGCTGTGTAGCATATATTTCCATTTGAACGTATCTTTCTACTTTATGTCTCATGGTGTTCCTTGAATAGCAGGACTCAGTGGGAAAGTTCGGACAGCATGCATAACCATAGTTTAGTGTGACGTCGGTGAGCCACCATGAAGCTCTGTCTCCTAGTCTCCCTCTCTTTGACTCTGGGACAGGCACCAGAAAGATTTGGGAAGCTTTCATTTTGGTTTAAGCACTGTTCATTGAGTCATCTGACCTGACAAAGCCTGGCTACTGTTAACTATTAAACAAGACAACTTTGAATGTGGGTTATGAAGCTGGCTTGTTTTAGAAAAACAGTCAATATTAACTATGTTTTAGGGCTTGGATGAAATGCTAAACTGGTTAATGGCAAATGGAAGTAGACACTTTGAAACACCTTCTCTCAGCTGTGATGAATGAGGGGAGAGCATGGGAGCTGTGGCTTGTTCTCATCACATTAAACTATGGCTTAGAGTTCCATTCAAGCAAGATCTTCCCCAGCAGAAGTTGAGAAGTGGCTCTTACAGTGCAATCCTACGCATGTTTACTCAGAAGTAAGTCCATTAGACATTCTTGTTTTCAGGTAAGTGTGCACAGGATTGTGCTATTAGATTCCCAAAGGGTATTCTGACTGCATTGTTGTCAGGAGATTTTTCCTGATGATTGCTAGAATGGCAGTTTGTCAAGTCCTCTGGTACACGCCAAAGCAAAATACTCTGGGTAAGCACTTTTGGGCTGACGCTGACTAAAATGACCAAATCAGACTTGAACTGTTATGCCCTGTGGTGCTTTGCTAAGCATAAAAGGGAATGTTTCTCAAATTACCCTTCAAGCCAAACTAGCATCACACGTCATCTTGCACATGATTGAATTTAGCACTTCTTACTCCACCTTTGCAGTGTTTACAGGAAACACGAATGTAAAATATTGCTCCCCCCAACTCTTCTGAGGCATTTTATATATTATGCATTGCATACAACAGCATGGTATGCTGATCTTACACTCTTGTGTTGGCAGCTTTGACAGCATTTTAATGCAAGAATTTATGGGGGTAAAGTAATTACACTGAAGTCACAGGAATGAAAGCTTTCACAGTGTTTTGTGTTTGCTGGGAAAACAGAATCTACTACCAGAAATTTCATTATCCCATTCTGTGAGGGTTTTGCTTTTGGGCAATGCATTCCATAATTTCGTTCACTGAGAGCAAAATAGCCAATTTCACTGGACCTCTTCTATATCTAAATGTGGGCCTAATCTAAAGAAGCATTTCTCAGTCTTTTTGAACTCTTCCTCCCTTCTTTGGATATACAGTGGTACCTTGGGTTACATACGCTTCAGGTTACAGACTCCTCTAACCCAGAAATAGTACCTCAGGTTAAGTACTTTGCTTCAGGATGAGAACAGAAATCGTGCTCCGGCAGCGCGGCAGGAGCAGGGAGGCCCCATTAGCTAAAGTGGTACCTCAGGTTAAGAACAGTTTCAGGTTAAGAACAGACCTCCAGAACGAATTAAGTACTTAACCCGAGGTACCACTGTACTCTATGTTTCACCTACACATGCCAAAAGAGGATTGAGGCAGTGGTTCTGTTATACACAGCTGTAGAAGTGCCCTCCATCTGATCAACCCAAGCATGGTTTCTTCTACAGAGTCCAGCTCGGGGCAAATAAATGGTTCTGGAAGTTTAAAGCAAGAAACAGCCGTGCACAGCACAGATTAGCTCCCCACCTCCAATTCCTTTTCCTCTTCAATATCTGGAGCAGTTGCCTTTGAAAAATCTAGTAATGGGCAAGCAGATGGATAAATATGTTTAACTATTATTTCTAATGTGGAGCTGAAGTATTGAGAATAAGGACAACATTTTAGTGCTGAGCTAGGGCTGGATTCATGGGACGCGGGTGGCGCTGTGGGTTAAACCACAGAGCCTAGGACTTGCCGATCAGAAGGTTGGCTGTTCGAATCCCCGTGACAGGGTGAGCTCCCGTTGCTCGGTCCCTGCTCCTGCCCACCTAGCAGTTCGAAAGCACGTCAAAGTGCAAGTAGATAAATAGGTACCGCTCCAGCAGGAAGGTAAACGGCGTTTCCGTGCGCTGCTCTGGTTCGCCTGAAGCGGCTTAGTCATGCTGGCCACATGACCCGGAAGCTGTACACCGGCTCCCTCAGCCAGTAAAACGAGATGAGCACCGCAACCCCAGAGTCGGCCGCGACTGGACCTAATGGTCAGGGGTCCCTTTACCTTTAACTTTAGGGCTGGATTCTGTGGCTTGTAAGAATGGAATTTCCCTGTGGAGCTGGGCTCTTCCTGTGGTTAAGAGACAAGCATGTCAGGAGTTCTTATCCATTAATCTTAGGACTGGAGTGGGCCAGTTGTTTCCAGAATCCACTACCTGGATCCAATTTGGGAGCTGTGGGCTTCTCTCGTACACAACCACACTGTTAAGCAATGTCTTTCCCATTTTTGAGCAGGGGAAGGGAGATGCCAGCTCTATTTTTGACGTTTCAAGAATAGCCACAATTTGCTCAACTATTTATTTTATCCAGCAAACACAAGAGGGGAAATTACTTGTGCACAATAGCTTTGGAGAAGCAGGAACTGCCAATGACACTTGTGCCAGAAAGGGCGGGAGAGGAAGTCCTTCTCTCGTCCCCACTGAGAGGAAATGTTTAGCGCGTAGCATTCTTTCTGTGTAGAACCAAGAGGCAAATAAGGTGACAGTTTTATGACTGTTCCAATAAAGTGGGTAGAACAATTTTCCTTTGCTTTCTCTCTTACCCCCCCCCCCCCATGGCTGTGCAGAGATATTTGTGGCACTTTCAGGACACCCCATGTAATAGGGAAACATTTCCCAGCTTGAAGGTTACATAGATAGATAGATAGATAGATAGATAGATAGATAGATACAGTGGTGCCTCGCAAGACGAAAAGTATCCGTTCTGTGATTCTCTTCGTCTAGCGGTTTTTTCGTCTTGCGAAGCAAGCCCATTGAAGGATTAGCGGATTAGCGCTATTAGTGCTTTTAGTGGCTTATCTGCTGATCGGATCAGCTGATAAGTGGCTTAGCGGCTTAGAAAAAGGGGGGGAGGGAAAAAAACCAGCAGGAACTCGCAAGACATTGTCGTCTTGCGAAGCACCTCCAAAACGGAAAACTCTTTCGTCTAGCGAGTTTTCCGTCTTGCGAGGCATTCGTCTTGCGGGGCACCACTGTAGATAGATTTAAGAACTGTATTCAGTCTCAAAATACGGGTTTTAACACAGGTGAATTCAGCCCTTTCTTTGTGTGCAATGTATTCTTAATGATTGTGCATTGAGGTGCCCTAATTCAAGCTCTTGGAGATATGTTTGTATCAGTAAGTATATATATAAAGGTTGCCTTTGTGTGTTTTTATGCCTGCACGTTCCTAGTTGCACAGAATCTGAAAACGTCATTTTGGATTGGATTGCTTTTCCTAGCCCTTTTCTTTCTTCTTAATTTACTGCAGAAAAGCTTCACTGGCCAGAGCAAGAGCTCTCAAAAAAGACAGTCTTGAGTCCGGACGAGTACAATTTCTTTCCTAAGAATGAAAGCAGCAGCATTCGGCGCCTGTCCCAGTCAGGAATCCTCAAGGACACATTCACCACGGGGACCAGCAGCTACAACGTCCTTCTGCAGAGCAAAGAGGAAAAGAAGCACCTTCTCCAAAAGCACCCCTTGGCCCACCACAAGAGGCACCGGAAGCCGGCCAAGCCCCCTAATGCTTCGCGGGGCAGCGAGCGCCAGAAGATCAAGGCCCCGCCACCTTTGCCCCGGAGCGGGTGGTGCGGCCTCAGCCGGCAGCCCTCCCTCTTCATCACAAGCCCAATACCCAGCGGCATCAAGTTGGCACGCAGTATTTCCGTAACAGGGAGCAGCATTGGCTTGCCCAAGACCAAGGCGAAAAGGCATTCCTTCTCCAGCCTCGCCAAGCCAAAGCCGCTGCAGAGATCCAAGAGCTATTTAAAAGAGGGAGACGCTGCTGGGCGGAAGTTCTGTATCCTCACTGCCATCAAGCCTTCCAACGTGGAGAAGGAGAAGATGAAGTTCTTCAAGTCGGACTTCACCTACAACCCGCAGTTTGAATATGCAAGCTCTGCGTTGTCCAGCGTGATAGCAAAGCACAGCCAGGCGTCCAGCACATTTCTCAAGCAGGTAAAGGTGCAAAGCTCCCAGTGCCATATTGCTTCTTCGCTTTTCCCTTGGGTTTAGGTCTTCTGCTTCTTAAAATTTTAACTTGCTTTGCACTCTTAAAGTCACTCTGCCTTTTGCCCTCCACCACCACCTAAAGACGGGACGCAGGTGGCGCTGTGGGTTAAACCACAGAGCCTAGGACTTGCCGATCAGAAGGTTGGCAGTTCGAATCCCCACGACGGGGTGAGCGCCTGTTGCTCGGTCCCTGCTCCTGCCAACCTAGCAGTTCGAAAGCATGTCAAAGTTCAAGTAGATAAATAGGTACCACTCTGGCGGGAAGGTAAACGGCGTTTCCGTGCACTGCTCTGGTTCGCCAGAAGCGGCTTAGTCATGCTGGCCACATAACCCAGAAGCTGTATGCCGGCTCCCTCGGCCAATAAAGCGAGATGAGCGCCGCAACCCCAGAGTCGGTCACGACTGGACCTAATGGTCAGGGGTCCCTTTACCTTTACCTTTATCACCTAAAGAATATTACCACCTTCCAGTTTCCATCATCCCTAACCACTGGGCATGCTGGTTGGAGCTGAGGGGAGTTGGAGTGCTAAGCTGCTCTATGCTGTGACCCAAAAGGCAAGAAAAAAGTGACTCGTTCTTCAAATGTTGAGTTGGCTTTCAGGAAACAGTCCCCTGTGGTTGACTTTCCTCCAAATGAGGAAAGGAAGCAAATCCAGGTTTTGGCCTCTTTTACCTCCCAGGCCGAGAGGGCGACGGTTGATTCCTATATTTCATCTTGGTTAGAGGTGAGAAAAAGAGAAATAAAGAGGCAGTTTCATAAAAGGGTTTTTCTGGTATAGTAATAATAATAATAATAATAATAATAAAAAATAACAACAACAATAATAACAATAATAATAATATATTGATGATGAAAGAAATCAGAGAAGGAAATTGTATGTTGATGACTGCCTGCCTGCAGTCAGAGTTAGTGGGTTAGCATGTATTAATTTTGTTGTTGTTTAATTAACTTTGGAGAGTTTTACATAATGCATTTTGTTGATTTAGGCAGCACAGAGTCTTCTTTGCCCTTGACTTTGACTGAAATGTGGCAGGGACTAGTTAGTAAATAAGGTTGGGTCTGTGAAGATCAGTTCTTGTGTAGCCACGCATTCCAGACGATAAGCCCTGTTTCCCCCTCATTTCCATTGTGATGCATCCCCTCAAAGAGATCCACATCTCCTTAGTTAGAAGCAGCTGGGTTTAGGATTGCAGCCTTCATACAAGAGCCTTGTTCCTGCAAAGGTGGGCTTCCTCATTTCAGTGGAGGGGATAGCGCCACAGAAACATAGGTTTCAAGCTGCCTTCTGCACTGAGGTGGATGAGGAAGACCTTGCAAGACCTCCTGAGGGGTGGAGAACCAGTGTCCCTCTAGAATGCCAGCAAGGTGTATTGGTTAAGCGTGTGGGACTGGGACCTGGGAGACCAAGGTTCGAATCTCACTGAGTGACCTTGGACCAGTCACGGTCCCTCATCCTAACCAACCTCAATAGGTAATTGTGGGAATGAAATGAGGGAGTGGAGAACCATGTACACCACCTCGAGGTCCTTGGAGGAAAAAAGGTGGAATGTAAATGCAATGAATAAATGAAATGTTGTTGCTGGACTCCAGTTCCCATCATCCCTGACCTGACCATTGGCCACGCCAGGTGGGGTAGATGGGAGTTGGAGTCCAACAACATCTGCAGGGCCACAGGCTCCCCACTCCTATTCTAAGTGCACATCTGGCTTCCCATAACCCACCGGTACCAAAGGATCTAGGTTAAGGCTTATATTGATGTCTCATCATCTACAGACATCAAGTTAGAACAATGTATGTTTTCATTTTCACATGGGGAAAAAAGTTAGGATTGAATGAATGGGTGGTTCACATGTAAAGGTAAGCCATGGTTTAGTGTTAGGAGGAGACACCTCAGTAATTCCAAGAGAAACATCAGGCACAAACAGTGCCTTTCTCATCCCATGCAGCTGAGAGGAGGACATCTCCCAAATTTGCTTCCAGTTTTCAGCTTGGTGTTAAATGGGGAGAAGGGGGAGAGGCAGGGCATGAATCTGCTGCTTTGCTGGAAACCTGTTGAGGCTCATCCGAGTAGCATTAATCCATAGTTTAGCGTTGCATGCAAAAAACATGTTAAGTTGGCAAATGGATGATAGACAGCAATAAATAAACGATCCAACTAAGCTGATTTTGCAGGAAGAAACACATGTTTCCACTGACCAATTTCCTTTCCTATCCCCCCCCCTTCAACAAGAGTTCCATATCTTGGATTCCTCAGTCAGCTTAAGTGCTAAGCAAGCCAAAGTTAAATCACGTAAACCTTTCCCAAAAGTTTTGCTTTAGGAATATTGGATGTGATGCTTCCTTGTTTGTTTTCAACAGAATACAGTGGATGATGGTATTTCTTTTCCTTTCTACTTCTTGCATGCTGCATAAAGGAAGCCCAGTTCTTATGAAAATCTCAGTTTCACCGCAGAGAGGGATTTTCCAGATGACTGAAAACAGAGTTGGTTGCTGATTAATTTTTCCAGTATGTTAAGGCTGCAATCCTATATTCACTTCCCTGCAAGTAAATCCCATTGAGCCCAAAGGGATTTACTTCTGATTAAACATTGGTAGGATTGCTCTGCAATTCAGTATTTTAGCAAGAAGGAAAAGAGCCCACCCATTGAAGATATCTGTTTCGGCAGATGTTTGCATAACCTGATGCTGTTCCCTCAGTGGTTTACTGGTTCAAATTCACATTGGCTCTAAGAGTTTTGCTTATGCCAAACTAAACCTAAGGGTGACTTACAACAGAGTGAGGAGAGGTCTTTTTTAACAACAGGTGGGGTGTGGGCGTGAGGGGATTATATCTTCCCTTTTTCCATCGGCCCTCCTTTTCTCCCTGCTTGACAATGCAAGGAAGAAAAGGGTTGTGCCGGAAGATGAAATATTAAAGGGAACCGTCTATTTAAATGAAGCAATTAATTTTTCTCCCCAACAGAAACTGGATCTGTGTAATGAGCAATGGGTGTTCCAAATGTCTGTCAAAGTTCTAGGACTTTGTTAGGGAAACTGGAGAACCATCACTCTGAATTATTTAGGTGACACATTGCAAAGTACATTGCCCTCCTGCGTCACAACAGAGCACAAACTTTCCTGTAAGTCTCTAGTAGATCACAGACATACGTGTCAGAATCTGAAAACGGATGGGAAACTCACGAAATGGAAATCAAAATAGTATTCTTCTACTTGTGCTCATGTCCAGAAATTTAGCATGTAAGCATGGGAGGTTTGGGTGTGTATTTGGTGTTCCTCTGCCTGTAAAGGCAGCGCTATTCCCCTCCCTCAGTGGCAGGGGACAGTATTCTATGTAAGACCTTTTGCAATTGCCAGACCGCCTCTTCTTTTGAAGTGAATTGTGCAAAGCCTCCATGTGCATTCTGGAGTGCACAGGTGACTCTACTTGGGGCAGAGATGTTTTCAGGATAATGGCAGACTCTATCATTTTTGTATTTGTTGTGAAATATCTATACAAACTTCTGATATTGTGCACATTGCCTGTGTATCGGTGTCCAGCACAGGAAGTGCAAGGGAGCTCTGGCACTGCTGCAGTGCAGGTGGCCAAGGGTGGCACTGCCGGCTGAGCAGGAGTCTCATGACATGAAGGGCCAGTGGGATCCTGCCCAGCTCTATGAAGCTGCCTAGGGCCTCAAGATTATCTGTTTTGGGGAATACCCATTGTCAGGGCTGGAGTCGGATTCAGGGCTCCGTTGCCAGTGAAGTTAACTCTTGGAAACAGCATACAACTCAGCAACGCTTCCCAGCAGGTCTTGCCCCTGTGGAGCAGAAGGTCCTTGCCGTCTTCCCTCTCTGACTTGTCCTCTTCCAGATGTATCCCAAGCAGTCTCAAACTGCATCTGTGTGCCTCTGGTTTTTGTTTTGCCCTCCTCATCATTCTGCACATTATTGGAGACCGAGGGGGAGGGTAACTTATCACAGCAGGAGAGGGAAATTCCCTGGATTCTTCAGCAGTCTCTTGAGCCGCCTCCTTTGCTTCAGCCTCGGGGTCTGAACTGCTCTCTGTCTCCAGCTCTACCTGCTCACTAAGCCCCTGATCAACAGCTTTTGCTCTGTTTTTGTCTCTCGTGCAGGCCATCAAAATCATGGAACTGACTTTGCAAAAATATGGAAGCTACGAAAATTTTGAGCAAGCCACCGGAGGCAGCCTCCTGCCCAGAAGTCGTATCTGGAACCATGTCAGGAAATACATGATGAAAGAAGGCTGCCTAGGCGAGGTTGGATCACTTGTAACAGCATTGATCTATTGATCGATCTATCGATTTATTGATCTATCTAACACCATAGAGTCAGGGCTCTCCCATGCATGCCCCAGTCACATGCCCCAGACTTATCCAACTTAAGGTATCTGGGAACTTTAAGAAGAGAGGAGAGGAGCTTCTACTGCAGCATCTGTCACCTGAGGCATCTGCCTCTCTTTGCCCAACGCTAGGGCCAGGTCACGACACATTTCACCTGGACATCCCAATGGCAAAGGTCATGTCAGCAAGGAGAGAAATCTCACCCTTCCCGTAACTAAATTGGCTTTCTAGGCTTTCATTCATACTGTTTTACTTCGGCTAAACCCAGCAGGGAAAAAATATAATCCATAAGAATTCACCAGTATTCATTGTTCCCAACAGAAATAGCACCTCTGTCACTTTCTTTTCTGTATTCTTTGTTATTTCTCGCTGGATGCTCAGAGGCCGGGTGCCCAAACAGCCCCAGATGGGTCCAGCACAGGATTGCTCTGTCTGGGGCCTGTATTGTGCAGTCTGTATTAGACATGGTTGTGACTGGGTGCTGGACTAGTGAATCTTCACTGACCCTTTGCAACAGTCACTTCCTGTTGTATCTGCAGTCCATTGGCATTGCGTTGGGCGAATCGACATCTTGAACTTTTGGTTCACAATGACTCTATATATGTGGTGGTCTTGTAGTGAGGTTAAAGCTTACTGGGAAATGATATATAATGAATTGAAAAAGATGTTTAAAATAACGTTTGTAAAAAAAAACCCCAGAAGCTTTCCTTTTGGGAATTATAAGGACAGAACTACCCAAACAGTATAGAAATTTATTCATGTATGCGACTACAGTGGCAAGAATGTTACCTGTCCAAAAAATGGAAAGAAGAAGAACTGCCAGGAAAAGAAGTATGGATGCAAAAACTTACGGAATATGCAGAAATGGTGAAACTTGCCAGAAAAATAAGAAATCAAGATAACAATATTTTTAAAGAATGGAAAAGGTTTATTGAATATTTACAAACAAACTGTAAACAGATAAGAAAAGAACATTGGCAGGATTATTGTAATAACCTGCAGTTTTATAAGAATATATATTTAAAGTAGATGAATAAATGAGCAAATTAAGCTCATTTGGATATGCAGAAAATACTAAAAATAAATTTAAGGAACCATAGAAAGAGGGGGAAAGAAGTCAAGTTTTGAAGTGTTAAAATGATTGTAAAATGATTGAAATGTATAAAATTGGAAATCATAAATTAAAAAACCTGGCAATGACTCTATACAGAATTGGAAATGTGTTGCTGGAGCTAGGAATGCAAAACCTTTGATTGTTTAAAGGTTTAATATCTCATTTCTCTTCTTTTTTATTCAGATTGTGGTCCATCTCTCCGAAGACTTGCTTTCTCGAGCCTCGATGACGGTGGTGAACGGCCGCCCAACTCTTACCATCAATATTGCCACGGCACGTGAGCATTGGCTGGAAGGAATGCTGAGGCACGAAATAGGTACGCACATAAGGGAAGCCGTTGCGCAGATAAGTCGTGCAAGTATGCCCATCTCTAGGCATTTCTTATGCAACTTGCTAAGCCGGATGCTGTTGAGAAGGGTGCTGATATTACCTATCATGGCTGAATGGCTGAATGGTTACGATCCCAGTCACCTGACAAAGGATGAGGGAGGTCTTCTGGTTTGGAAAACCGGAAGCCGTGGTTGCCATGCAAGGAGGCAGTTCCATCTGCAGATGAGGAGCTGACAAGGGATGGTGGAAACCATGGAGGTCAGGTCAACAGAGAAGTAGCTTGCAGACTAAGGACTTTAAGTCCATCACAAGACTAGACCAGGAGCCAATCAGTACTGAGGGATCTTCTGATCAGCATATAAGTTTCTTAAGGGTCTGGGTGAAGATAGTGCAAAAAAATAAATAAAAACCACCTGGTCTCCATCCAACCGTTAGCAGTGTGGTGAGAAAAAAAGATTTCAGGAAAGTGCTTCGCATGAAATGATGCCTCTCTTTCCTTGTTCCTAATGATATTCTTGTTCTGTAAAGCTCATTGGGCGACAGAGCATTTACTGAGGACGTGATAGGACAGGAAGAGAGCGCTTAACCCTTTGCCCACCCCCTGTCAATTTTTTAACCTCCCTTCCCTCAGCCAGGGGGAAAGTAAGTGTCAGTGACCTAAAAGTGTCAGTGACCTAAAAGAAATATTGGGCGATTTGCAGGGGGAAGTCATTAGACACAGGAAGACGTAAGCACATATACACAAGGCCACATGGGTTCTCCTGCAGCTATATTTGGATTACCTCAGTAAATAGAGGGCTGGAATCCTCCGTTTGCCAAGGCAACGCAAATGTGCCCTTAAGCAATGGGTGCAACCCACCAAGTCAAACTCTAGCACAGGGTTCAGAAAACTTTTTCAGCAGGGGGCCGGTCCACTGTGCCTCAGACCCTGTGGGGGGCTGGACTATATATATTTTTTTTGGGGGGGGGAATGAACGAATTCCTATGCCCCACAAATAACCCAGAGATGCATTTTAAATAAAAGCGCACATTCTACTCATGTAAAAACACGCTGATTCCTGGATTGTCCGCATGGATTCAGAAGGCAATTGGGCTGGATCCGGCCCCTGGGCCTTAGTTTGCCTACCCATGCTCTAGCACAATTCTTACTGACATGAACTTGAGTTCCAGAGGCAGAATGCTTGCCCACAGTCAAAATAACTTGCATTTGCCATCTCTCACTGTCTTGAGAAGTTCTGAACTTGAGGCTAAATTTGGTTATGCTTGGGTTTTGGGGGTGGTGTTGTTTTTTTGCCGCGGTAGCAGTTTGCTTATTTGTGGCTAACATTCTGGCAATGCCTGCATGATTGTGCGTTTGTCTGTCTGCTTTACAGGAACTCATTATCTGAGAGGCATTAATAACAACAGCCAGCTGTGGAGCACCTGGAATGGGCGAAGAAAACATGGCCTCAAACCCATCAACCCCACAGAGGAAGGCCTGGCAAGTATCCACAGTGTTCTCTTTCGGAAAGATCCCTTCCTGTGGAGGGCGGCACTTCTGTATTACACGGTCTACCAAGCGAGCCAAATGTCCTTCCAAGAGCTCTTTCAGGACATTGGGAAGTTTGTCACAGACCCCAACACTAGATGGGACTATTGTGTTCGAGCCAAGAGAGGCTGGACCGATACGTCTATTCCAGGTAAGTCTTTTTTCCTCCTCCCCTTCGGTTTGAATATTTTCTTTGAAGCTGTGATTCTTTAAAAAGGCCCCCTGAAAGCTCCAGAAGCAAAAGTTCAGGCTAGGGCAGAAATTGTTCTTACAAGTCTTTAAAAACGGGAGTCATAAAAAGGTAAAAGTAGAAGGAATCTCTGTTGGGAATGAGATATAGGTACAAAAACGATACAGAATATTCAAAATAAAGCTTTGTACAGTTGAGATGTTTGAGCTTCAAGACCACCGTAATAGTCATGCACAAATTGCTTCCTCACGGGTCACAGAAGGAGGTGGCTCACTCTTTGAACCATTTATGATGAAATACAGAGGATTAGACTTCTGTCCAGGTATATACCTGCATCATGTCATAGCTAGTGATCTTAAATGTTTATGCTAGGAGCAGCAGCAAATTTTAGGTCTGGCATGCTCCCCTTATTTCCTTCAGTAGAATTAAGGTGGGCTATATCTTAAACCAGAGCTTTCCAAATTTCTCATGTTGGTGACACACTTTTTAGAGACGCATCATTGTGCGACACAGTAATTCAGTTTTACTAGCAAACCGGCAGGCTGCTCGCTCCCTTATTAGCCCCAGGAGGAGTGCGGGGAGCGTTTGTGTGACACACCAACACACTGAAGCCGACACACTTCACATGTCGCGACACACAGTTCGGAAAACTCTGTCTTAAACATTTTACTTAGCTGAGGCATGGATTGATCTATTAATCTCCTCATATGCTAACTTAAGCATATTTACTCGGAAGTAATTCCCACCAAGTTCAATGAGACTTAATATGTTTAGGATTGCAGTCTTACAAGCTTGTGTGTGCTTTGTCAGAAGAAAAGCCTGCTGAGTTGTTCCCGATATATATATGTGCGTGTTGTTGTGTAAATATACAAGGATAATTGTCATTTGTGCATTGCTAAATCTTTTGCTTTTTCCTAAAATTGGGCTCGCCACCAATAAATCCAATTACTTTAGGTTGCTTCAGTAAAGACCAGGTCTACTTGGATGGCATCCTCCGGATTCTGAGATACCGACATACCATCGACTTCTGCTTGCTGACTGCTCTTGGAAAGGTGGGTGAAATTGCTGAGTGGAACACTGATCTATAATAGATCAATCACGAATCATAGATTTTCCTGCCAACAGTGTACTCTTGAAGATTTGAGAACATGGAAGTGCAAGTGGGAGATGCATAAGCCGGTTTATAAGCCAGGGGCGGATTTACGTCCATTGGAAAGAAGTGGGTTGGATTCTGACTCTGCTTCTAGCACTGTATCTTGGTCTCTTGGGCCATACCTAAGTTGGCCTAAAGTTTCCCCACTTTGCATGGTATCTGCCTTTCCAAGGTTTTCTTCCTGTGCTTTTGGTTTAGTGCTAAAGTGCCGAACTAGGGCGTGCAAGGTGGCACTGAGTCCACGTTTGGAGAACTAGATGCTTGCGCTGCATTGAACCCTCTTTTTCTACTATCCAGGTCTCCTATGAGGATGTGGATCGCCTGAAGGATTTAGGAATGATTGAGAACATGAGGGTGCCACACTTCTTGCAAGACCACGCGAGGTACATGGAACACCTGGAGAAGATCATGGAAGTCAACGAGCTGTCTGACACGGAGCTTAGGCTTCTTCTGCCCTAAACCGCCACTCTTTTTTTGCTTGACGCCTGCGTCATTTATACCAGACTGGAACGCAGTGAGTCCTGACTCACAGAAGTGGAATAACTAACCTTATTTTTGATGCCTGGCAAAAATCTATATTCTTTCAACCTGCTTCTCTGGTGGTGGTAGGTTTTTTTCAGGGGGTAAAATGCGCAGGTGCAGTCCAGAAGTTGTTTACGTTCAAAGGAAAAAATATGCTCCTTTCCACCCCATTCTCAAGATATATGAAAGATTTTGTAAATTTTTGAGATTAAATTATAGCTGGAACTCGCGGATTAAATTATAGCTGGAAACATCCTTTATGAAATTCTTTGTGTAGATTCTTTCACTGTGGCATTTGCCAGTTCTACAGGCTTTTGAATGATTTCCTTCCTAGCATATTATTATTTGCAACATAATACTTAAATGTTTTAGAATGTAGCATTTTCTAATTTGTTGACCCCATTCCCTTGTTGGTTGGTTTCCGGGTCGCGCAGTATTATAGCTAAGCGGTTTTCTAAGGGTTAAGTAATTTGCATATATACTTTACTATGCCAACTGTTCTTTGAACTCATCTTCCATGTTTCTGGCATCTTCTGCTGGAGAAATACACATGTGTATTTCTCAGTTCTAATGTAGAAAAGTTGACTACATTTCCGTTAGGCTCCATTCATGTGTTAGCTAAGATTCTTCATCAATGATCCCCTAATAAAGGGGCTTTTAGATGTGGGGTCAGCCTCTTCCCACCCTGATTCTGTGTCAAAACTGACACATCATGACTCCCAGTGTGTTGTTGTTTCTGAGGAGCGGTGCCTACCTACAATGTGATCTGACTTTCAGGGCTCAAGGAAATCTGTGCTTCTTAGCTGTGGCAATTGGAAGACTGCCTTGGAAAACCAGGACACTCCAGGCAGCCTGGCTCCATGGGATGCAACTCTGGCCATAGTTTATAATCTTTAATCTGCATGCATACCCTTCAAAGGTCTGGTTGGGATCCGTTGGAACATTACAAACGTAGGTGGTGCAAAGATTAGGTTGTGGTGAAAGTTCACAGGGCAGTTGCAATAGTATAGTCCTGTTGACATCAATGATTTCCCCCCCAATATGCATTTCAATAACGGTGGAGTATATGTGAAGTGGTAAAAGGTGCTTTCTCCCATTGTTCATAATACTCCATTAGAGAGCTCCGTAAGAGGATTTCTCACATATTTCGACACTTTTTTTTTTGAGCGTGCATCAAGAGGAAATCAGGAAGGAGAGTGTTTGGAATTGGAATTTCATACAGTAAGATGCAGGTATCACAGATCGTTATAATTCTGCGGAGCAAAATATCCATTTTCTGTATTGTGAAAATGCTTCATTAATCCATATAGGAAACGTGCAGATATATAAAGATATGTAATTCATAGAATCATAGAGTTGGAATAGACCACAAGGGCCATCGAGTCCAGCCCCCTAATATATGGCCCTTATATATATAATGCTTTTCTCAATGCAGATATAAATTCATCGGCAGTGGCACAACCTTCCTTAGCAACTAGTTTTCTACCTGCCAGGTACAATTGCTGGTTTCATCAGTTTAGTACCTCCTAGGTGCAGGCCCCAACTCCACCTATTTTGCCTTTACACCATCACTCCCTCACCCTTTAAAAAAACCAAAAACTGGCTCCTTTCCATTGTTTCCTGACCATTCTATTGCCCTTTAGTAAGACCTGCCTCTGTGAAGCTTCTGTTCATGTTGCTGATGCTGGATGAAGGCATATCCTCATGCAGAACCAACAGCTGGAGTGGCCGGGGGCAGGGGCAGGAAGCAACAGAAGTGCTCAGGATCCATCTACAAGCACCATAAAGGCAGAACACATTTCTCTTGTGTATGTCCAGATCGCTCAACTACCACAATGTCGTTTCTGTTTCTAAAAAAGAGGTTTTCAAAATATGAAGAACCCCAGAAGAATACACTAGGATAGAATCTCCATATCCTTCCACTCTTCTACAGAGTTGCTTGCAATTTTTTTTTTAAAAAAAGAGCCTGGAACTCAGATGCAATAATGGCATAATCACCCACCATGAATTCAAGCGCTGTGAAGACCACTCCTGTTTTAAAGTTATAAATATTGGCTTATAATAGCCTGTCATGAAAATCTCATTTATCATGGGCAATGGAAAGAAATGAATATTTTCCAATTTAATAATATACGTTGAGCTAGATGCCTGGACGTAGTGTTCTGCAATGGGGTGATGAAGTACAATTTTTAACCAAAATATTTTACAAAACATGGGCCAAGAACACATATGACAGCCTCAATTTTCTATTGTTAGTACAGTTTCTGTATTTCATTCATTGAATTCAAGAGACTCCTCTTGCTGTAAGTGCATCTAACTCATACAGACTCTTTTGAACAAATTCCTATTCCCCACAGATGTTAGCTTTCATGTCTTTGTAAATCAGCTCCATAACTTAGTGGATGTCACATGGCTATGCGATTAACACAAGTTAACACATCAGCAACCTTATACATGTATTAATCAAAGGAACAGAGCTTAAATAAGCTTAGTATAAGCCTCCACATTAGTATTTACTGGGTTTTTATAGCCATGTGGGCAATAGGTTGCAGGATATTGTACCAGAAGTTACTGCAGCACAGAGCATTAGTAACTTCATTGTATGCCGGGGTAACAACTTGAATGATAACGCGTTTAGCGCATTAGCGGTTTGTACACTCCTGCCGCCTTGGATGTTTACCAAATACGTTGATGTATAATTTTAATACAAAAGCCTTTGTCTCAAGAAGATTGCTGAGTACTGTAAATAGCCGCAACATTAATTATCTGTATTTCAACTAGCACAATGGTTCCTGTATACTATTTGTATCTACCTAAACCTTAGCTACACGAGGTGGATTCACACATTCATGCGCTGTACCTGATCTGTGGTCTTTTCCGTAGCATAGTTGCTGTTAACTTTATTTATCTAAACAATTATGTACTGCCCCTCATTTTAAAAAATCAAGAGATGTTTACAACAATTAATTGCACATGTGGCAATGTGTTGCTGTTTATGGCACAGGCAGAAATCATCCTCATAAGACAAACAGAATAACTACAGTACATAAAGGTACAAACCCTGTGTTCTGTCAATGCAGTCATCTTATTTGCAGTCGACAGCGGGCCTTACCAAAAATTGCTAGTGCCATTTAAATGCTTACCATTCACTTCACATTATTCCTAACGTGTTACGATTAGTTCAGTGCAAGTCACAATTCTTGAAGTCAGCAAATCACTTGCCCAGCAAAAAAAACACCCCCACCTCAGGCGATTTTTCCAGCACCAATGTTGTTATATAAAGTGTTGTAGATTTGTAACGGTGCTTTTGTAAACCTTTTGGGATTTTTAAAAATTGTGACAACCTGTTGTTAAGTTCCAAAATAAATAAGGGTTGTATGTGTACGGGTCTCACCAGAAAGTCTCACGCTGTTTATTTATAATTGACAAGACATCTTTGCTATTAGATCTGTAGCTCCTCTAAAATTTAATGGGGGGAAAACTTCAGAGTTTCAATAAAGAGAGCAATTATACCTGCGTTTTATTGGTGGAAAAACCTTATACTACTAACTCAATGACAAGTGTCTCTAATTCTAATTATAATAATAATAATAATAATAATAATAATAATAATAATAATAATAATTTTATTTATACCCCGCCCACCTGGCTGGGTTTCTCCAGCCACTCTCCATACTCTTTACCAACAACAGCTGCCCTGTCATATCTGGTTCATTCAAATGTACAAATATGTCTCAGCAGCAAGTTTATTTCAGGCCGACTTCGTGCTTTGTTCCACTGGGTGGCTATTGATAGATAAACAATTAAATGAGTCTTAAGTACCAGCTATATGTCCTCTTCTGGATGAGCCCTCATCCCAAAGCATGCTAAACCAGATCTGGTTAAGACTGATCTTCAGCAGAAGTTACGCAGTAGTAGAAAATAGTACAAGTTTCAGCTAAAAGAAATAGGTTCAGGTGTTGGCTCTGTGGAATTTGGAGATGTTCCTGATGAAGGTTGAGGCTGATCCAACGTAGTCCAAGTCTTTATATCCCTGATGGGTGTTGTAGTTCAGCATCTGTGGAAGACCAAAGGTTTCCCCGGCCTGCTTTAAAGAGTAAAAAGGTTTAGGTGTGATGGTGGCCCAATTCCGATTCCAAAAGGGCTGAGCTGTCGCTTGGTAACACTTTGGGAAAAAGTCTTATCTGAGACTCCAGCCGCGGCAGATTCACAGGCTGTAAAACCTCATGGGCAGAAATGTCTTAGCTTGAGAGCAGTGTGGCCTGAGTTTCTTGCAGAATAATTTAGGTTATAATGCCATGTATGCCAAATTCGCAAGTCCCTTACTTCACAAAGGATGTTGCTTCATGTTTCTAAAGCCTTTTAACAGAATATTTCAAGAGGAAAAATAATAACTGTATTTGAAATGCTTTAAAACGAAACAATTCAGCCTCGCATCCTGCCCTACTCTGAAATCTGAAATGGATTCTCTTGCCGGTTATCAAAAGCCTTTGGCCTGCTAATCTGTCATGCTTTCGCCTCATTTCAAGACATGCATCCTTTTCTATGAATATCCTCATCTGGTGTATATCGGAAAGCATATTCGACTTTTCACAGGACCAAACCACCTACGACAGAAAGTTGGTTGTAGCTGCTCAAAAATGAAAAATGGGATGGATTAGAAAGACAGTTGAATACAAATGAAATGACAGGAACTAGTCCCACAAACCTATGATTCCTGGGTGGCTGGTCCTAGGGGCTGTAGGATGTTTTAAATCTTCCCCTCTGGGGGCAGACACAGAGGTCTGACAGCGCAGCGCTCCCCCATGCTACTGTGAAAATATCTGAAGTTTTCGGAACTCAGGGCGCTTCTAGAGGCTGGCAGGAGCCTTGCCAAGGGAGGTATGGCGGTATGAGGGGCAAGATCGGGGAAGGCGTGGATCTGAAGGATTCATAGCCTTCCAAGTCCCCTGATATGCCCCCAAACCAGAGGGACAACGACACCAGACTGTCAGGAGCTTGTCCTACACTCGAGTAGGATCCTGGCAGAGACACATTCCTGACTGGCACGTTCTCTCCCTCCTGGTCGATTGTTCGGGAGCTTCAAAAGCTTTCTTCAGCCCGAATATCACAGCGACCTTTGCCAACAGACATCAGCACACTAAGGGATCCGCAGTCTTCGCAGCTTGCGTGATGGACCTCAGCAACTCAGCATTTTGGCTAATTGACTTTATTTACATATAAACATACACGGAGCACTGAAACATGGCTCCCTCTCTCTCTAGAATCAGACAGCAAAGAGAGAAAACAAAGGACAATAGTCCCCCTTCACGGAACACAGGAACACAAACATCCTGCCTCCGTCACTTCCCACTTTGTGGAGTCAAAATATACACCGTCATGTGGTAGACAAAAATCCCATGACTGCAGTCATGGAGCAGGAATTCTAACACGGACTAGGAGATGCCACATGTATTTTCCTCCCACTGTTCTCAATGGTGTTGGACTCGGAGGGGGGGAGATGGAGGAGTGCGAGATGGCTGCTCTGCCACCAGCAGGGCACTAGAAATGGCAGATCCTCTGCCTTTGGTTTTCTGTCCAGTTGTCCTTTCGATTACAGCCTGGATAATCAAATATTACCGCATTCTCCCGTCTATAGGACGCCCCCATGTATAAGACATTCCCCCCATTTTGCAGACTCAATTTTAGGAAAATGAGGAGAGATGGCCCCAAATTGTTGAGCCTCTCCCCCCACGCAGCTGCGGGTGGGAAACACTCCCTAGATCGTTTCCCATGCGCAGCGGCATCTGGGAAATTTGCTCTCCCATGGGAGCGCAACCTCCCCCAATGCCGCCGCGCGGGGGAAACGACCTAGGGAGCGCCCGCCCCACGCAGTGGCGTTGGGGGGGTTTCGCTCCTGCCAACAAGCTGGCTGGTGGCATGTGGCTTCACACACCCCCATGCCACTTTCTGTGTATTGGACGACCCCAGTTTTTGGACGCGATTTTTGAGTCAAAAAACCTTGTCCAATACATGGAAAAATACGGTATTTTATGCCAACCTATGCTGGTGGCCAAAATAAGCGTTTTACAAGGCTCTCTTTTATGCCTCTAAATCATGGGTAGGCAAACTAAGGCCCGGGGGCTGGATCTGGCCCAATCACCTTTTCAATCCGGCCCACGGACGGTCTGGGAATCAGTGTGTTTTTACTTGAGTAGAATGTGTCCTTTTATTTAAAATGCATCTCTGGGTTATTTGTGGGGCATAGGAATTTGTTCATCCCCCCCAAAAAAATATAGTTCGGCCCCCCACAAGGTCTGAGGGACAGTGGACTGGCTCCCTGCTGAAAAAGTTTGCTGACCCCTGCTCTGAACCATCTCGTTTTACTTTTTAATCTAGAGATGAACACATCTAAGCATCCTATAGTAGACATAATCTTCCTACCCCTAAGACACCTCTGCCTTTCAGAGTTTTGGGAGGCATCGAAACTCTCAGATAAGCCTGTTACTGGATTAACATGTGGTTAGTGCCTAACAGATCATTAGTGCCCAAGTGAACAGTTTAGGGCTCAACTTTTACACCATTCAACTTATAATGCTTAAGAGCAAATCAAACCATGGCAGAAGCACTTTATTTATTTATTTATCTGGAGAATCACCCAGACATAATCCAGTTGAATTATATCCATCAATCAAGCTGAGATAGCTGGATACACTGAAATAAATAAGTTAGCTGAATGCCAAAAAGATTCTTTCTATTAGATCTGTTACTAAAAAGTGGACAGTGCTCATGACTCTCAAATAGTTAACACAAAGTATATGGATTTAAATCAGTTTAGTCCTTTTGAGTCACAGTCCTAGGGCTGGCGTGTAGCTGTGTGCTTTGTGGATTTATCTGATAGATAAGATACTTCCTGATGAAAGATAAACATGAAAGACTTAAACCTAAACCATACATCAGTGGTACCAATACATTATTTACCACACCTTACAACTGTTAGACATGGAAGTTTCACCTTCCAAGCCAGGAGTTCGCAACCTACCCCCATGGGGCAAGGCACTTTTTTTCTTTGGAATTTTTCTTTAGGGCAATTGTTTAAGAAAAATAGAAAACCACAGCAGGGCACCATCAGCATCAAGCCAGTATCTTAGCCATTGATCTACCTCAGGCATAGGCAAACTCAGCCCTCCAGATGTTTTGGGACTACAACTTCCATCATCCCTGACCACTGGTCCTGTTAGCTAGGGATCATGGGAGTTGTAGTCCCAAAAACATCTGGGGGACCGAGTTTGCCTATGCCTGATCTACCTTAAAAGAGCTCAGTCTTTATGTGTCTTCATACACTAGTGTCAACGAACTATCACAGGAGTTACATGCAGAATTCATCAGTGAAAAGATGCCAGAAGGATATCATGAGCTGCGGTCTAAACCACTGAGCCTCTTGGGCTTGCTGTTCGGAAGGTCGGCGGTTCGAATCCCCGCGACGGGGTGAGCTCCCATTGCTCTGTCCCAGCTTCTGCCAACCTAGCAGTTTGAAAGCACGCCAGTGCAAGTAGATAAATAGGTACCACTGTGGCAGGAAGGTAAATGACGTTTCCATGCGCTCTGGTTTCCATCACGGTGTTCCGTTGTGCCAGAAGCGGTTTAGTCATGCTGGCCACGTGACCCGGAAAGCTGTCTGTGGACAAAGGCCAGCTCCCTCGGCCTGAAAAGTAAAATGAGCACCGCACCCCAGTCACCTTTGATGGGACTTAACCGTCCAGGGGGTCCTTTTCCTTTTCCTTAGTAATTTATGAAGGAATGTCTGTCATATATCTCCAAGTTACTCTGCTAGAAAAGCTTCCATTTTACCAAAATGGAAAAATCTTATCTTGGTATATGGGTTTAACAGGGAGTTATTAGTCTGCAGATCTAAACACAAGGCTGTATTCTGCTCAGCAGGCTTGTGGGTTTAACTTTTTCAAGTTTTAGCAGCTACTCCTTACAAACCATTTTTGCATACCTGCCACTGATGGACATCTGAAGTGCATGCGTAGCCAAAATATATTTAGTTATTTTGCTTTTAAAATTTATCAGCTATGTTTCTAGAAGAACAGGGATATTCCGTGAAGTGAAATATGAAGCCAGAAGTACATTTCAGAAACACACAGTAAAAACCATAGGGCAAATATTTATTTTCAAACAAGTCTTCACTTGTTTCCTATAATAAACAGATCAGGAATGGCTCTGGTGAGCTTGATTAGGAAAGAAACTTCAGAGAGCTGAGTTCATGCTAGAGAACACTCAGGACTATTTTTTCCCATCAGTAAAACATGCTGCAGAAGAACCAAAGACCAAAGTTTTCAATGTGAAACTTAGCAAAACTCTGGAGTTCAAATAAGTGAAACTTCCTCCAAACGGGCCCTTTCCATTCA